GTTAAAATTGGTTTCTCTTGCTTTAATGAGCTCGATATCATCAGATGTCATATTTCCTTCGGACATGTTGTTCAGAGCAACGGCAAATGCCTGATCTTCTCTTTGGCGCATTATTTCGGTGAGTTCGAAGAAACGGAACAAATCCCAAAGTGGTGTGCCAGTAATTGCGCTATGTGGATCCAATTGGTTTGGGGAGAAAATCCATCTGTCTCCTACTGGCGAGAGTTGCTTTAAGTCGCCAAAAACAATTAATGGTATACCTCCAAAATACTCGCTAGAGCGAAATATTTGTTTTAAACGGGCATCTAAATATCCAAATATTTTGGCACCGACCATTGAAATTTCGTCCACTATTATTAACTGAAGGTCTATTAGGTTTGAATAGATAGAATTAACACTATCATTGCTGAGAGGTCGTAATTCAGTTGAGGATTGGTTTATCGGTAAGGAAAAAATCGAGTGCAAAGTAACGCCTCCAATCCCAAATGCAGCTTTACCTGTAGGAGCACACAATAAGACTTTAATTGTCTCGGGATTACTGCCGGATAAGCTGTTTGCTCGTGTTGTCAGTGACTGGTATAGCGCGGAAATTAATCGGCTTTTTCCTACTCCAGCTCCGCCTCCGACGTATTCGTAAAAGTGTCTCTTCAGCTTCATGTTATGGTGAACATGATAAAAATATTCCCGCAGTTTTCTGTTCAAGGAGCACACAATTGAGAGCAGCTCATTTTCTTGAATAAGTATAAGTAGTCTTATGAGCCTGACCTCCTCCAAGTTTGGGTCCTGTGGCTCATCGCTATGAAATACGTCGACATCATTGCCGATTTCTGGAATAGCTAGTGCTCTAAACTCTTCATCCAAGAAAGGGGTAAGATCAACCTGAACATCTTCCTCTGCTGTTTGCTGATTTAAGTTCTCTAAAATATTTTCGAGCTCACGGTCTGAGAACTTGTCGTATTTCTGCTTGTTCTCTTCAACAATTGATTTGTTGTCATTACAAACTCATTCTATGTCAGCATCGATTAAATCAGCTGCTTCGCTACGCCAGGGATAAAATAGCACAGCCATTTCCCGAAAGTAGTCTGATCGAGAAAATTCAACACTAAAACGTCTCCACCTTAATATAAGAGGGCGCTTTCTCTTCCAGATGAAACCGCTCCTATCATTTAATTGAAGCCGGAGCTCGTTTGCTTCAGAATTTTCATCAACCATCGACTTCTTCTTTGTCCTCGTTTTCGGGTGTAGACACTGTTCTTGTTTTTGAAAATCGGTACAATGCAGCAAACTCAGCAAGACAGAGTTGCCCTAGCCGACTTGGCCTTTGAATATAATGATCCAGCAAGTTCGGTACATAAATATCAGTTGAATCAGCAGGAAGCCTTTCTAGATCACTTTTCGGCTTCACCATTCTGACTCTTTTGTCTGGGTGTGACGTATTAATAAAAATTTCTCCTTCGCTGGCTTCTGAAAGATGAAGACCCAAAATATTATAGGATGCTTCTTGGGCGGACACCTCCGATCCGTTAACAAATTTATTGCCTATGTGTTGTAATTTTTGCTTAATTGTGAAATTTCCGTCATTTATTTCATCCATGGCTTGTCGTAACAGCTGAGATACCCCTCTATTAGATTTGTTGATATAATTTATTATGTATCTGCAGCATGCATAGGCGTCAAGTATGAACTGAATGTCCATATTTGCTCTATGCAAACGCAAAATGTCGCTGTTATATGCGTTAAGCAGTCTATCTGAAAATTTCCTTCGTAGAAAAATTTGAGGCTTCTTTAAACTGGAACGCAGCGCTAATTTGTAATTCTCATAAGTTGTGGAAATGTCTGGATGCATTAAGAATTCCTCAAAGTTGTTGAAGTTCTCTGCTTCCATATTATCATTCTGTTGGCTTAAAACATTTTTAATTTTTTGCAACAGAGCCAGGTGTTGTTCGCTTACTTCGTTTTCGTTCAGAGGTAATAATACCTCAGTTCGGGGCATTGGTGGGTAAGGCATGTTGAAACGACAGACTTGCTGACCTCTTATATCTCTGAAGCAAGCACGACCATGACTATGTCTTTGGTAGTCAATAAATTGCTGCACC